CAAAAAAAAAAAAAAAAAAAAAAAAAATCTTTAATGACAAACTAATCCGATAAATTAAGCCTGCTTATTTTATAAATCTAAATTTGATTGAAGCATTTATGAACATGATCCAAATATATGTATGGAAACGATAAAAAGAAATGTGTCTCCATCCAAACCAATCGACTTGTAACATTTGCCTTGTTTCTGTTTAAAAGAAAGATACTGTAACACCATTTGATACTGCAATGAACTCTTTAATAATAATATAAAAATAGGTTAGGCCTATATTGTTGATTTAAGTTGTATAATGTCATCCAGCTATCTATAGGCGCCATATATGCATATTGTTAATTAATAATAGTCAAAATTGCCTACCTTCATTGGCTCAACCAACAATGGTGGGGCTGGGGCATATGCTCTGACCCATGGAACTTAGAATTTGGAAAGGTCCCTCACTTCCAAAATGTTGAAAAAGCCAAATGTTCTTTGATGTATTTAATTGATAGCATTTGATTCACAGGTCAGTAACGCCGACATCGTTGTTGTGTTAATGTCAATGCACAAAGGGAAAATTGGCAAAAAAATACTCAATTGTTTAATAATGGTATTCAAAAAAGCAACTTATTTACTGTTTTTAGTATTTTGGGGTTCTTTGTTAAAATTTGGGAGATGTTGAGGAGATTGCTTGAAAATTCTTAATCAAATCGAAAATGTTGGAACGTATATTGGTTTCTAGACCTTGTGCCCGGCCCCGTATTTCAAATTCCTGAATCCACCACTGAGAATTTGTTTTGGACACGCTCCCCACCCCTGGAATTAGTCCGATCTCCTTTCGGACAGATTTAAATTGGATAATGAATATTAATGATATTGTGGTTTGTGGACAAAATCAAAGCTGTTACTGTAAATTGCCAACTTCTTTACCAATCTAATCAACAATTCGCTGCCAATTAAACAAAGTAAATATGTCAAACATTTTTAATTCATGTGTGTCTGCAGCATATTCTGTCACTGTGGCTAGGTCCACTACCAGAAGGTCCTCAAGTTCTAGTCCAAATTCATCTATAATCAGGTTATCCATGGGTTTAATAATAATGCTTGAGATAGAGTACTGTATATCATCTTTGAACCCATTTATCATCATCTTTGAACTCTGAACCCATTTGTCATATCATCTTTAATTCAGACCTTCCCCACAACGATGCTTTTCAACAAGTTGCTGTAGAACTTAGAGAGAAATACCCGGGGCATGTCTTGCCCAAGGAAGATGAACAGTGGATATTTGTGAATGCTGGAGGATGGATGGGGTCCATGTGCCTTCTTCATGCATCCTTAACAGAGTACATCCTGTTCTTTGGCACAGCCGTTGATACTGTTGGACACTCAGGTACAGTAATTATAATTTTCAGTATTTTTATTTATTTATGATTCCAGCTTATGCAGTACAGTAGTTGTCAAGTACGTTTTTGTAACGCTGAGATATGCAATAAGGTTGAATGGAATATGTATCAAGTTGTATCAACATAATTTGCGATTGCGGCAAAGAGGTTTGTGGGACATTTGATCCTCGCTGGATCTTCTAAACTTATTCCTCAATAGGAATCTATCTGATCAGTGCAAAAGCGCTATAAACCAGAGCCCAGTAACACATACAATAAAATACAATCAGTGACAACAAGTATCAGAAGAGTGCAACAAAAATTAAATTAGCCTATAGAAATTTAAAAAATTAAATGTTGTCAGTTAATATTGAAGAAGTTTTGGCAGGGCCTCCTGCAAGCAGCATGGCCTCAATAATGTACCGCCTCTGTTGTATACAGAGAAGAGTTGCTGGTACCGGTTTACCAGTACACGCTCTGATCTAAATAAAATGGCGCTATATAAATGCTGTCATGATACTGTATGTATGCGTGACTATTCATGTTAATATTGAGTAACATTTGTTTTACTACTGTAGGGCGATATTGGGCAAATATCTCTGATACGATTTTGACTGGGACATTTCGACAATGGAAGGAAGGAACAACAGAAAGTGAAGTGTATTATCCAGGTAGGTGAACTGAATGTCATAGATGATTATTTACAGCCCTGCAGTAGTAATAAAGTAAAACACAAAGGGATCAGTGGCAGATTCAAAGGGACCCAGCAGCCCAGGTCCCCCTTTAATTTACAAAAACAAAGAAAAAAAAAAAGTGGGGAAAAAAGAAAATTCAATTTTAATAAGTCTGAGAGTGCCATTTTCGGCAATCTAGAGGTGCCATATCATAAATATTCTTACCTCATTCCAGGGGTGGCACCAGGATTTGCCAGATGGGGGGGGGATGCCAGGGGAAAATTTCCCTGACAAAAGCAAAGTGGGCCTGGTTGAGCTTTGATTGAAAGGTTTCGAAAGTGGTCCAGGGGGTGAAGCCCCGATAATTTTGACAATTTATAAGGTTTCAAAGGCTTTAATCAATTTTAGTCTAATTTGTAGAAAATACATATATTTTTTTCTCCCCCACGAATTGTGCTTTTTCTCCCCGAAGGGGTGGGCCAGCTCACCCTGACAGGGGGCCTTGGCCCCCTGCCTCATCGCTAACTATGGTGGGTTTGAAGTGGTTTCGGAACAATCATGCCAGAATCGTTATACAACGTAATTTTACGTGTTGTAAATTTTGTGCGGTAATCAGTTGTCATGCAAAGCCTATCACGTTTCACAATTTGACATCAAATACTGTAAAGAAATTTTTATCAAAAAATAAATCCTTTCGGTCATTTATACTGGGTATTAACAATTTTTATTTTTATTTTTTTTTTAATTTTTAATTTGTGATTTCAGTTTTGTCATTCCGAATTTGGAATTTTTTGGCAGGGCCTCTGGGGACCTGCAGCAGCCATAGTGCAGCGCCAGTACTTACTGTATCCCACCGAACTCTAATGCGGGGTTATTTAAGCAGCCGCTAATGGAACTTGAAGAAATATAACAGCTTGGCCGAAGGCTTAGGCTATGTTCTCACTCAGCTGCTAACGGTTAGCAGGATAGCTGCCGTGCGTCCATACGAGAAAATCCCAATCCGGATACCAAAAATATGATGTTCGAATCACTGGCCAATAAGAAACTGTAAACTGTAGATGCGTATGTGTGATTGGTTGATGATATAAAGGGGTTAACTTGCTAACCGATAGTGATATCTGGATACTGCTAACGGTAAGCGCTAACCGATTGGGCATTCTCACGCAGGTGCTAAAAGTTAGCGATAACAGTTAGCTCCCGATCCGGATACAAGGGCTCTCGTGAAAACCAGCCTTTACTTAGCTAAGCTGTCTTGCTTTTTATTTTTTTGTTTTGTTCATTGTCGTGTTTTGTATTGCAGTATTAACAACCACAATAATATCATTTCTTAGGTGCTACTTTACTTCATAGTTGGGGAGAAGCAACTTCTGTCCAGTGGTCAGCAGGTACTTGGATGGTGGAATATGGTCGTGGATTTATTCCCTCAACAGTGCCGTTCGCTCTTTCAGACACCCTCTTTGGTACGCAGGACTTACTAACAATGTTCTATACATTTAAAATCTATGGAAAAGCATTGTTATTAGAAGGACAATTTTTTCTAGATTCATTACTTAATTAAATGTATTTTTTCAGGAAGCTTGGTATCTTACAATGGCATTAATTTTTAAATCTGATGAGTCAATCACTTAAGTGTAATAAACATGGTGTTTAAACCGAATTATATATATTTGTAATATAAGTTTTAATAATTTATGAAATTGTAAATTTTGTTTGATTTTTACATGCCAATGAAATGTAAAAATATATAAGATGATCACTAAAAATCTTGGTGGAAAAATAAAGATTTTATAAAAATATAAGATTAATGTGTTTCATTACATACTGTCAATATATACAGTATTTGTAATAATGTAATGTGATTGTTTACTGCTGTACTAATAATTTATGTAATTGTAAGTTAATAAAATAGGCAACAAAAGTAAAAAAAAAAACAAAACTAAGATGATCACTAATAATCCTGATACAGTTAAACTTGCCTAATTTCTAAAGTCTTATGTCATTTTACATTATTTAACTATCTGTAAGTCAAATTTTGTCTAAGTCAAACAATATTTAATTGCATTTTAGATTCGACTTAGGCAAATTCAACTGTATATATAAAGGGGTTATAACAATACAGATCTCCCTTTCATTCATTCATCAACATTTATTTCAATTAATGTAATCGTTGCATTATTTTACATATTTAACAAATCTACTGCCACAGGATGTGGTAATCATTTGCATAAAAGAATTCTACAGATATTTCTTTTTTAATATTTTGCATCATGTTGCTCATGACATAGTTCATTTTATGATACTTATTAAAACAAGATTTCTGAAGAGTTGGGTCGTTGCTTGTGTTCTCTCTGCTTCCTGTAGCAAATACACTAAAGGGTGTTGAAACTCATGTACTCTACGCTGCAACGATGAGGTTCAACATACAGGTAAGCTGCACTCAAAACTTTCATGTTAAATTGAGGGCGCCATTGAAAATGATGTCCAACATACATGTATTTTGATAGTGTAACTCTCTGGAGCTGCAACAATGTTAGTCAATAGAGAGCAGCAGATTTACATGTAGGCTGCCAGGGACTGGTTTTCTCAAATGTAAGGTCATCTTTTCCAAACTTCATTCGGCATTAACTTCTTCTGTTACAGGCCCTCTACCCCGTAATTTGCGTTCTTTATCCTTCAGTTCCTCCACTTCTTGCTCCAGTTCCATGCACACTCTCTCAATCTCATAGTTCTTGGCAACAAGTGAGATCCAGCTATAAGATTTTCAGAGGATGCAAAAATTACCTTTAAGCATTTTAAGTGACTTTAACAACAATATGATGACATATCCACCTATTCATTCAACAATGAACTATCTAGCTGATCATTTGGGCCCATCACTGCTCTATAAGCAAATTACTAATACTGTAGTGAGCAGTTCGCCGAGAGGTAATGTTCCTCTTTCTTGTGCTGAAGACCCCGGTTCAAAACCTGGCCAAGGTTAGATATTAATCGGAGTATAATCGTTTGGCTCGATAAAGAACATGTTCGATATTGTTACATGTTGTGGTTAATAATAAATTAAATATGAAAAGATGAAGATGAAAATTATAACATGAAATTAACTAAAAATGATTTACGTGAATTGTTCCTATTTGCCACTGCAAAAACTAATTTTATTTTCAACAATGAAATTTATGATCAAATTGATGGGGTTTCAATGGGCTCGCCTTTGGCACCTGTTTTGGCGAATTTATTTATGGGTCACCATGAACAAACTTGGCTGACCAACTTCACCCACACACTGGTTACGTTCTACCGTCGTTATGTTGATGATATTTTCTGTATACTAAACTCTTAAACTAAACTAAATTTTTTGATTATATTAACAAACAGCACTCGAAAATTAAGTTCACAGTGGAAAATGAAATTAATAAACGACTACTTTTTTTAGAAGTTTTGCTAGATAATGGTGTTTCATTTCTGAAAACATCGGTGTATAGGAAACCTACTTTCACGGGACTCCTCACTAATTTTCTAAGCTTTACAGTGTCATCTTACAAAAACGGCCTTATTCGCACAATAATTGATAGAGTATATAAGTTAAATAATTCTTGGCTAGGTTTTCTAAATGATATTGAAGTTCCTTAGAACCATCTTATGTAAAAATGGTTTCCCTAGTAACCTTACTGTTGACAAAATTAATAGATAATTAAGTGATGCTCATGTCCATTGTTCTGGTTCTAAAGAGACCCCTAAAAACAAAAATAATGTTTGCTATTTTAAATTGACATATTTACAGTTTGCACGTAATACGCAAAGCAGAATTAACAAAATTACTAGTAAATATTGTCATGGAATTGCAATTAAGCTGGCTTTTAAATTGTTCAAAATTTCTAATTTTCTAGGAGTGAAGGATCCCGTTCCCGAAGTGTTCCGTGCTCGTGTTGTATACAAATTTACTTGTGTGGGATGTAATTCCACGTATATTGGAGAAACCAATAGAAGAATTTCAACATGAGTGCAAGAACACTTCAGGGATGGGAATTCTCATATTTTTCAACATTTGCAGGCTTCAGAACGCTGTCGGGATCTTGCTAATGAGAGATGTTTCACCGTTCTTGATTCTGCAGATTCAGCTTATAAACTCAAAGTTAAGGAAGCTTTGCAATTACCTGGAACAATCCATCCCTTAATAAGCAAATTTACAACTTGAATATCACGCTTGCTGTTTGCTTATGTACTAATTTACATAACAATCCGCAGTGACGGGTGGTGTCTACGTTTTGTGGTTTGCTTCATTAGTCGCTTTTCTAATTTGCTTATTTACATACATGTGTATAAAGTCATATAGACTTTGGCAAAATTTGTCATCTTTCGCACTGATGATGAGAATCGTTTTCTCAAAATATGTTTGCTATATGATCGGGCTCAATGAGTCCATGATCATGATTAAAGTCTATTACTTGCTTTATAAAGTCCCCTGTGGTGTTTTTACTTATACAAAATTTTGGTGGCATTATTTATGACCTATCAAATAAAATATTATAATAAAGTATTATCATTTTAATTAATTAGTTTCTGAACTAAAAAATTGTTATCTTACCTTTCCTCTAGCTGCCTAAGTTCTCTGCCAGCAACTATCTATAAATGAAAAGAGAGATAAAGGATTAAAACTAATAATGTTTTACAATCATTTAAAAAATGTACAGGGGTATACTTACACAGGACTACTGTAAAACCTCAAATAAAAGCCTAATGGGCTTAATCTTGAGAAGCCCATCTCGAATTGAAGCCCCCTTTTCAGTTTGCAAAAATAGCCTCGAATAGAAGCCCATCTAGAAAAGAAAGCAGCCCAGGGCTTCAATTCAAGGTTTTACAGTAAAGTATCCTTAAATGTGTATGTGATCTGTTATAAAGTACGATTGCTACAGAGCCACTTCGAAACCTGGACTTGTGGACTTTCAACTTTATGGTCAAAAACATATTTTACTGACAAAGGTTGATAAAGTATTGTATGATTCTTTATTTACTTCTTGAAACAGACAAAGTTTTCCTAAACAGTAGTTTAAGACCACTTTGCTAGGGAGTCCCGGAAATGAAAATTCTAACGATAATATGCCAGAAGATAACCATTGCAAATTTGCCATATATGAGCAAAATACGATAAAGGAACCAAACTGAAGTAAATAGGTGATTGACATCTGTCACCTCGTCAAAGAATAAGATGACCAGTGAAAAACATTTCAATACAGTGATGAAGTTTATGATGCGAGTTATTGATATCCGGTCATGAGACATATAGTGGGTATAACTATTGTATTCAGAATTTACAGTGCGATCAATGTAAAAGTATAGGAAAAGGTAATTTTATGGTTTTGAAAACAACCGTCCACTATTAACGTGAGCAATAACTCACGAGGAAAGGCACTACAATTGTTCAAAATAGTGTTCATTTACTTATTCTAGCGTTTGCTGTGCTTTGTATATAATTTATGTGATCCTTTGTAAACCATAACCAGCCTAGAAATCATAGCGTGTCAAAATCGCAGTTTGGGGGCTGAAGACTTTCATGCATACCTAAATAGGCTGTAGATATGCGGGGCCTATAATAATTTTGGAGCATTACGACAAAATTCTCAAGTTCAATTTTAGTTTACTGGCATTCCAACCTATTTTTCCTATTACCGAGCATCACGTGTGCTGCCTATTTACAATTTATACCCACTATACGTCATGTGACCAACCTTGCGGAATCGGTCTATTCCATGTTAATGTAATTTTTCAAACCTACCTGATCATTTTTTCTTTTCCAATTTATCTCCTGTATCCGTTTTCTCAACGCTTGCTGTATCTTTTGAGCACTATCCAACACCTTGACTAAAATCCTTAAAAAAATATTGAAGACGGGATGATTATGGATGTGGATACCATGACCTGATGATGGTGAATATTCAATTAATGATATTTATTAATTCCTTACAGAGACCTAGTACTTTTCCTTAACTTACATTTTATACTTTTATTTTTAACCCATAACCAAGTATCAGCATTGTAATTTTTTTTTAAATTATTTATTTTCTCTCTATTTTTTTTACTGTCTATTTATTTAAGTATAAAATTAATAAATGTTTTGAGTAGTAAGTGTTAATGCTGTTTTGACGGTGCTGTTTTTATGTTTTCCATTCTATAAAGTGTCCCCACTGTCGGATGTGATTCTGGGCAGGCTCTGTCTCAGGGCCCCAAAGTCGGGGACATCAGACACCTGTCAGGAAATCCTGGTGTTCCCCTAATATACATAGCTTTGCAGTATATTATGTAAGCAAGCCAAGACTATTTAAAAATATCTGGGTCACATAAATTATTACTTGGGTCCTTACATCGGAAACATTGGACCCACTATTGGGCAAATCCTGGGGCCACCCCTGATATACATAGCACTGCAGTAGAGTGAACAAGACAACAATACATTTTGACAATATCTGGGTCACATAACCGCTTCATTTACAGAAAACAATGTGAGTAAAATTGTTGAATTAAATAAAAAAAACATAATTAAATTTTATCTAAAATTATAACAATTTCCATACTCACTCATTGTGTAATTTCCATGCATTTGCTCCATACCTTGACATTAATTCCAAGTTTGCAATTCTATGTAAGAATTACGAAAAAAAAAAATTTAGCACAAACATTATAAAATAGACAATAGAATCCCAGTGATTGATGTCTCTATTTGGATTATTTTCTGATGCGGGATACACCAATATGCACATAGGCCATACAGCATATTAGACCAACAATTTAATTGTGTCATGAGAAAGACGGAGTGTTATCAAAACTTGTATTTGAGACATCCAGTTGAAAAACAAGAAGTGCAGCAGATAGAATTGAACCAGCACACACCCACACCTCCTACACATACACACACACAGTTGCTAGCACCAGCTTACCAGACGTCACTGGGTTGCTGCCTTGAAAAAAAAAAAAAAAAATCAGTTTGAAAGTAAATACTTATTTTGTTTCCAATGTTTTTGTAAACCCTCACAACTACTGGCAAACCTACCTGGCAGACTGATGCTCCAGTTGGGCCATGGAATTATCCACACACTCATTCCAAGCTGTGATGTCGTTTTGCCTGCCGGATGGGGGTGGGGGTAATTCATATCTAAAAAAAAATATCTTTATCTTTTATAAATATTTCTATGGTGCGCGAGATAATACAACAAAATAGACGTGAAAAGTGGATACTCTTGAAGAGACTCTTGGAGAGACTCGCGCATTTTTGAGTTGGCAGGTGTATTTATTTTTTTTCTCCCAGAACACAGCATTGTTGTGCACAAACCAGAATGTTATTACTACTGCTGTATTGTCTTTAAATACACATACCTCTTCATGCTAAGCATTTCCATTGGTAGTCTTGCAGCAAGTCTTTCAAATTCAATCTTCATCACCTCTGTCTCGACGGGCATGTGTTCAACAACAGGCAAGTGCTCCAGATAGTTTTTTGTTGGCCGATAACGTCTAGTTTCTTCGTCAACAAGTGCATAGGCCTTGAATATAAAGTTAGTGAAATTAGTTTAAGTTTAACTGTATTGGGCCACTAGGCCTACTGTACTACAGTATAAAACAGTTTGTCAAATGAATATTCACTGTCATGTATATCTGATGGGGGAAAGTTGAGGGGGGGGGGGGGGGGGGGCCTCGAGGATGAAGCACGCCAGCTGGCAAAAAGTAAAATAAAGGGATGTTTAACTGCTTTAGTGTAAACAATTGTGCTTTACAGGATATACACTGAAGTAAAATAAACTTTCGGCAAACTAGGGTTACATTTTTTGGTTGGAAATTTGATATTCATAAAAACTGGGTTTCGGCGAAGTGTACTCTGCAATATGAGAAAATGGATGCGCGAGAGAATGACAAACCAGTAATTTTTTTTAGTTGGTCTTTATTAATAAAGTAATTATCAGTATTTAGGGTATTTAATTTTAATAATAACAGTCCTTTCAATGAATCAAACTGACTGAAAACATACTACAATACAGATATAGTCGGTTAAACTGGTTTGCCGCACGTGTCCTGTGCGGGGAATAAATCCTCTGCGCAAAACTTTAGGCATAGGCATAGCGATTCCATCCATGCATTTTGGAAAATGAGGAACAAAATCTGAGAAGATTTTGCCGAAAAATAAGACTTTGACGTAATCTTAATTATAATAACCAACGTATTATGCATAATTTGCGATCATGTGCAACTACCTGTATTTTCCCGTCGACTGTCGGCGCAAATATGAGCTAGTTTTTGAGGTATCATCCGCGCAATTTAAAAAACTTTATACAGTATGAAACAAGTCCTACACTGCTGTAAATAAAGAGTGACCACAGGGCTGTATATTAAGATTTGGTCAAAGCCTAATTTTCCGCAAATCTGCGCGGAAATCAGACATTATTTTCAGAAATGCACGGGCAGATTTTTAGGTCAAATTTTTGCTCGGAGGATACATTCCGAATCCCTGTGTAGTATGCTACTACTACGCCTAGCTAGGCGTAGGCCTATTGCTAGGGCCTCCCTAGTCTAGGCTAGGCCTAGCCCGCGCCCTGGATAGAAGGAACAAAAAAAATCAATCCAAAAACAAGGAGCACATTTAAAAAGATATGGTATGCAAGTTAGGCCTAATGACTATGTCTTAACTACACTAATAATAATATAAGAGACCTCACTATAACAACTCCCTGAAGAGACCAAACAAAAGTAAGTAAGTAGGCCTACTACTAGGCTAGCCTAGTTATTATAGTCTTTTTAGAAGGTTATGCTAGGAAGATGACATTACCTAGCCTAGGCCTAGCCCTAGGTTTAGACCGTATTAAATTAGTCTAAACTAAGTCTAAGGCCATTTTAGTAAAGCCCAGGCCAACTCGTCTCGTTACTTAGAGGACGAGCCTACATCTAGCTAGCTAGGCCTAGGCTAGTAAGTAGTAGTACTACTAGCTAGCTAGGCCTAGCCTAGCCCTAGTCTTCTTAGTTTAGTCCAGCCAGCAGGGAGTTGTTATAGGCCTAGTGGCCTAGGCCTCGCAGGAAAAGGCCCGGCCTAGCATCTGCTATTTGGTAGTCAAATCCAAATACTGAATATAATACAGAAGTCATACAGTGCTTTTACACTATTCATACCGCTTCTCTGACACCAGGTTCATCATAACCTTGGTCGTAGTACGGCAAAGCATCAACAATTACTTCCCCCGCCATGTTTCGTTTATGCTTTTCGCTTGCTTGTTTGTTGGTTATGTAATTATATGAACTCACTGAAATACTAAACTCACAAAAGAGGTCGCCCTATTGAATTTGCATTCATGTTGGGTTATGGAGGAAAGTGCATGGCACCTTGCCAATCTGGTTCACTCATTCTTTTGTGCAGTATAGTTCACAGAGATTGCAGGGGTTTATAGTGTCATGCCAGTGAGTGCCTCCACCTACCAAGTACGAGTTGATCATTTCAGATCTCAGTGAGTCAATTCAGAGAAACAAATCATACACTTTGAACATTATGTGCGATAAATTTTATTTTTGTGTGTATGTAGGCCTACAGTGTATTCTATTCAATTCAATTTACCTTTATTTCGGAATCACATATCCAAAGCATGAAACACAAAGCATAAAAAATATATGAAAAGAAAGAAAAGTAACAAAGATTATGCATGCAGGCCGGACGTCACTGGGGGATGGGGTGGTGGTTGGGGTGCGAATGGAAATGCGCGGATCCCAGAGAATAATGCGGAACTAAATCCCTTTTCCAATGAAAACCTTATGATCATTTTTAAAAAAGTTTTAACCCACTTAGTGGAACTAATTTGCTGCCATGCACATCTACCATGGGGGTGGGGGAGGTATCTTGATTGCCATACAGTCACTATCCCTCTCAATATTGAATATCTGTATGCATAGTATTGAAAAGAATACTAATATTGAGGTTTTCAAATGGTACATACATCACATTTATTTGCATTATCATTTTTTTTCATGTGTCTGTGTTTATTCAAACATGTAAATTATTGCCTAATCAATGGTGCGTGCACGTAGGAGTAATTCTGGTAATAGTAATAACACCGGGGCCTAGAATAGGCCCTATAAGAAATCAACTTCATATTTGTGTTTTATTACGATACCAAAACATTAAATAAATACCCAAGTTGGGGCCCGGTCCGTCTGAACATATTTCCATCAGATCATCTAAATAAGTAACAAATTAACGAAAATGTATTTGTCTTACTAAGAAAATACTTGTTGACAATATTAACCGGGTGCTATTTTTTCTTACGTTATTGTTTGACTTTTATGTAAAGTGTGTTGGTGTCGAAACTGAATACTATAAAGCCATATGAGGTAGCAGTTTATGTAGTGATCTATGAATAGAAATGATAAATGAATAGTTTCCCAATATGGTCTGGCCAGAGTGGTTGTTATTGCGGTTGCTTTTGTCATTGTAGTTATTTTTTAAACTATAATTATTGTTGTGGTTGTTCTTAAAAAAATCTTTATGAATTAGATGATACCAATTTCGGTTATTTCTTTTTTAGGCTAAGATCAAGCTGGAGATATATCAAATAGCCGCCACCGAAGGGAGCGAAAAAAGCTAGGTGGGGACGGTGCAGACGCACCTATCACTGCACTTATTTCCATTAAACACGACGTAAAATATGGACTTTTTCATTGATCTTAGAAATTGATTATGAGGACAATGTACTCAGTTTACAAATTAGTGTGAAAATAACATAAATAAAACTTTATTCATTCCACCACCTATGGTACAATACCGAAACCAAGAAGACAATGCATGTAAGCAGGTCCGGCGCTAACTTATAAAGTTATGCTTTATATAAACATCAAACGGATACAAAGATAAGAAAGTATAATACATACTCCAAGTATTGAAATACACGCCATCGTGTTGGGATTCAATATTTCAACATTAATTATGTCATCATCAGGAATGCCATTCCTGATGATGACATAATTAACGTGTATTTCAATACTTGGAGTATGTATTATACTTTCTTATCTGAGATTAATCAGTGGACCTTTCGGATACAAACATCGTACTTAACTCGCCTAAAGAGGACCGAAACCAAGAAGACAATGCATGTAAGCAGGTCCGGCGCTAACTTATAAATTTATGCTTTATATAAACATCAAACGGATACAAACATCGTACTTAGCTCGCCTAAAGAGGTTACTCGAGGAGCTGAGCGTTTTTTGTTATTATAAAAGACCCGATTTCAATACTCGGCACAGAGCCGGATTTCGAACCCGTGCGCTGGCGTTCAGGAGGAAGGAACCATACCAATTAGCCAAACGCTCAGCTCAAGACAATGCAACTTATGGCCAATGAAATGGTTTTAAGAAAGAAACCCGAATGGAAGAAAGTCAAAAAAGATTATAGTTATTTGAGTACTGTATTCTTTTTGTTATTAAACTTGTTAATAATAACGGGTTTCTTTGAGTAATTTTTATTGAATTTCAATGATTTTTTTTAAATTTTTTATGGTGCTTTGTATATACTCTTTGTAACCGTTCCACTTTAGTTTTTAACTGCCGGCCATGGATGTATGTTTGTTCACACCGAAATAAATAAGTAAATACAGGAGAGGTTTGGGCATTAGTTGCAATTTAGCTTCTCAGGTTGAGACAGTTGCGTAGTCGGTATATTTGGCGAGACTTTATACTACCTTGTTTCGCGAGCTTATTTTTTAAAAGATCGTCAGGACTGCGGGAACTGAAAATAAAATTTTGGTTTTCCGTTTTGCCAAAAACATCAAGACGGAAGAGAAAATAAAAATAAAATATTATTAGTAAATGTAGACAGTGCAGGAATGGGATAGTTAAATGCTTTAAATTTATATAATTATGAAGAAAGGCCTACATATCTTTGACCTATTTTTTTTTTTTTTTTTTTTTTTTAAGGCAGCGGAAGGCGTAACAAAATTAAAGAAAAACTCTTTATTTTCTCTGTTTTTTTTTTTTTTCTTTTGTGGCGCGGCGGGTGCGCCAATTGGCCAAAAATAAAAATTTCATTTTTATTCGAAATCATCATTATTGGCGGGTGGTGGGTTTGCTAAACAAGGTATGAAAATCAGGCGGTATTTGGGAAGGACGACTTGATTCCTGAATCGTTTAAACGTGGCACCAAGACCTCTGATGATTAGTGCCTAAAATGTATTACAAAAACGTAAATACAATAATGACATATTGAATATTATTGTATATTTTCGGAAAATAATTCAGTCACTCGATAGAAAGGTCATTCCAAGTTTACTTCCTTTCTTTCGAGTTGTCCCTCCCCAGTTTATATCGTCGGAAAATCTACCGATAATCAATGGTTCAAAAGGACATCGAAAAACTAGCAAGTTAAAACAATGTAATGGTAATGGTGATATACTTTTATAGCGCATACTACGAAATCGTCTATGCCCCCAGAAACCACAGCTGAAGTGCACAATTTAAAAAAATTGAAGAATCAAACACCAAAACTAAAGGAAGAGGAATCAAGTTCAGAATTAAAACAAGAGCGACTGCTCACCGGTATGCGCGTTCCTACACGGTAAAAAGACATAAAAGACGGTACATGCGCAAGTTATTATATTGCGTTGTTTGGAAGAGCTAAATAGAAATTTTTAATTAATTAGGATGTTTATTTCTACAAAAAAATGTTGATTTGTACAAAATTAAAATATCTTAAAATTGAAAAAAATGTCTCAAAAATTGGAAAGAAAAATTGAATACCAAGACGCGATTCAAACAAACAACCTTCTAATTTCTTTAGAAAACATCCTTAACCGACTGCGCTATCTATGCGGCGTGCTCTATAATGGTAATGAGAGTGTGCATCCCTTGCTGAGACCCCTTTTTTTTGTGTGTAGGAGGAACCATGGGGTCTAACTTAAAAAAGGGCGATTTTGTTAGAAATCACCTCTAGTTTATGTGTACACAATTTCCTGCACGTCCGTTCAAAAACTAGCGACGCTGGACGCTTTGGTAACAAGAGCAAGAACAGCGCCTTGCACGGCAAGAAATGCGATTTGAGCAGATACCGTACTTGATGGCAGTCGTAAATGGAGAAGCAACAATAAAGAACGTGTAATGTAATTCGAGTCTAATTAGAAATTGTGATTATAAAATAATGAATGTGGGCCACCATATCCGATTCAAGAGAGGGCCAAATTCAACAGAGTGGCTTTAAATTATATGGTCGCTGTTGAAAATAAATATTAAAATATAAATACCGTAAATAATAATAAATAACAACAACATATAATAATAATAATAATAATAATAATAATAATAATAATAATAATAATAATAATAATAATAATAATAATAATAATAATAATAATAGGTCATGAATAATGGCACCATAATTTCGAATATTAAAACAAACAAACTATTTAATCGAATTAGGCCTCTGATCGCGGGCTCAATAATGAGCCCGATCGTGTTCTAGCAAACGTATTTTAATCCTATATAAACCTTGGCAAAGTCGGTATTTTCGCACTGATGATGGGAATAATATTTCGGAAACATGTTTGCTACTACACGATCGGGCTCATTATTGAGCCCGCGATCAGTAGTTCGATTAAAGAGCGGTTGTTTGTTTATTGAATGCCTCGTAGTGTTTTTACTTATGATGATGATGATAATAATAATAATAATAATAATAATAATAATAATAATAATAATAAAGATGATGATGATGATGGTGATGATAGTAATAATAATATTAATAATAATAATAATAATAATATTAAACTATGATCTCCATAATCATATTTCAAAAAAACGTTTAAATATTAGCATGATACACACATTTTTGAATAAAAAATGGAGGCTGACCAATAATTATGAATTAGTTTATTACATAAAATATAATCTGATATTTAAAAATACTGTAGAAACATGTATACAAAATACCTCACATGTTACTCTTAAGATAGTGTCTAAAAAATAGTAACTTAAAGGAAATCAAGTGCAGTATAAAAGAACACATTTTTTCACCAAAACATTATGAGCTCCAGTTTGATGCTCCTCTTGGTATTTTTGGCCATCAATCCGCGTGGAAATTCGTATTTTTGTGAAGGCCTTTTTACTTATTCCCCACTAAATACTGAATGATCCTCAGCTCAGGTGTCGTGACTCGTAGCCTAGGCAACAATCTACATTTAGGCTACGTGTCACGACACCTGAGCTCATGATCATTCAGTATTCAGGCTGTATAAAAGCAATTGTTTGTTTAGTAATTGGTTTTTAGTTACCACTGATGATGTCTGTAGG